TCTGGCTCGTTGGTTCTGCCTCTCAACCGTCAATCAACTGGTGTACAGATTTCTGAGCCTACTGGGCTCTATCATATCTACATTTGAAATTGTGTATGGAGTCTGCTTCCACCACATCACTGCCTAATGCATTCCACCTGTTAAATACTTTGACACTGATAAAGTTCTTTCTAAAGTATCTGTGGCTTATTTGAGTACTCATTTTCCAACTGTGTCTCCTTGTTCGCGTACCACCCATGCTAAACAGTTTACCTTTATCTACCCTATCAATTTCTCTGAGAATTTTCTAGGTAGTGATCATGTCTTCCTTACTCTTCTTTTTTCCAGTGTCGTGAGGTGCATTTCACGCAGTCTTTCCTCATAACTCATGCCTCTTAGTTCTGGGACTAGCCTAGAGGTGTCCCTCTGAACTTTTTCCTGCTTCGTCTTGTGCTTGACAAAGAAACGGGCTCCATGCTGGGGCCGCATACTCCAGGATTGGTCTAACATATCATATACAAGGTTCTGAATATCTTACACAGGTTCCTCAATGCATTCCTGATGTTAGCCAGCCTCGAATACGCCGCTGATGTTATTATTTTGATGTGGGCTTCAGGAGACAGGTTTGGTGTGAAATCAACTCCTAGATCTTTCTCTCTGACCGTTTCATGAAGGACTTCATCTCCCATTCTGTATCCTGTGCCTGGCCTGTTTCCACCGCCTAGTTTAATTTCTTTACATTTACTGGGGTTGAACTTTTGTAGCCATTTGTTGGACTATTCCTTCAGTTTGTCTAGATCATCTTGTAGCCTCATACTATTTCCTCAGTATGTGTGAGTGTGTGTGTGTGTGTGTGTGTGTGTGTGTGTGTGTGTGTGTGTGTGTGTGTGTGTGTGTGTGTGTGTGTGTGTGTGTGTGTGTAAGTACCGATTTCTATCCCAATATTATGCACACAATTACACGATCAATTCTGTTTGCCTCTAATAGAGAGCAAATCTTGAGTAATTCATTTTAAAGATCTAAATAAACTAATGGTCAAACAATCGATCCTCTTGTGAGTTAATTGTCCCTTAACGACGTATTATTGGACTGTCTCTTGACCTAGTGAATTAGTGCCCTTAATCACAAGTTATTCCTCCCCGAAGTTAGTTTCAGGTCCAGATCTCACCAATCAGCACCGGATAACAACAACAGGTCCCCCTTCCACCCATTTACGCATTGTTTAATGGACTTCCTTCCCCATTATTCCCCTATTCCTTATCTTAAATTTGATTGCCCCCTATTTTCAAACGAACCTTTCACCTCACCCCCAAATAACGTCATCTCATCCACACGTGAATCTAAATATATTTTTTTTACCTTGTGTATTCATTCTTTACCAGAAGATATTCCAAAGTGCAACAAAACTTTGTAGAAAATAAATCCTTCAATAATTACTAGAGATTCTTTACCATGAACTTCAGTAAAGATTACTCTCCTTAATAAGACCATATGAATAAAGGTAATTGCAGAAAGCCTATTGGCCCATACAAGGCGGTTTCTATTTATAACCAACTAATCCCACTCATATACATGTCCAACCCACGTATAAAATAATCTAGGGACCCCTTCCCGAAAGTAAGAAAATAGTTAGATGCCTGGAAAGCACACTATAAAATCCCCAACGACATGAATACGATCATATTTAACCAAATATATATGTATATGTATATTTATGAAGTATGTATGTATATGTATACATGTATAAACACGAAACATTATACAGATAAGCTTGACATAGTTTAATATACAATGGAGACATTATACGCTATTTTTTCCCTCCTGTGCTTGTGATCTTCGCGTCTAGTCAACGACCATCACTCAACTGAGGAGTGCCTGCAGTGGTGCCACCTCAAGGGTTTAGTGCCACAGTCTACTAGCTCACTGGGTCCGGGGTCACCTGAATTATTTACGTCCCTGGTACACGCTGGCAATACAGCAACGTCCACGCCATCTCTCGTCTCGTACTCTGCCTTTTTGTGTGTGTGGCAATACTGCAGTGGGCTTTTTTGGTGCTGTTTTATGTTGTGTAGTTTTTATTATTATTATTATTATTATTATTATTATTATTATTATTATTATTATTATTATTATTATTATTTACACAGATAAATCCCTCTAACGTGATGCAATAATGAGAAAATTCTTACAATGAGATGAAATCAATTAGAAAGTCTAAGGTGTGTGTTTGGGAATGCCCAGAGCATAGGTTCGAATCCCCAACATGGCTCCTACAAATTTTATTATTATTATTATTATTATTATTATTATTATTATTATTATTATTATTATTATTATGTGTTGTATGTGTGACGTTTTCACGACTTTAGGAGTGATGAGGGGGCGATAGTGAGGGTGTTTTTGTATCATGTGGATTGTATTGTATGGGGGAAGGTGACAAATATGGGATGGTAGTTTTGTGGGAAAGGTTTGTTGACGGTGTTAGAGGTATTTAGTGGAAAAGATGTGATGTTTGGGTTGTTTATTGGTGGGGTGAGGAGAAGGGTTCTTTGTGGGAAGGGTCTTGTGTTGGGCAAGAGTTCTTATGTGGTGGGGGAGAGAGGTCTCTTGAAAGGGACGTGTCTTGAGTGGTTGGAGGTCTTATGTGTGTGGGAGGCCATTTGTACGGGAGAGATCTTAAATGGGGGAGGTTTCTTGTGTGAGAAAAGTCTTGCTTGGGAGAGACCTTGTTTGCGGGAGAAACCTGTGAAAAGTAGGTCTTGTGTGTGTGGGGGGGGGGGGGGGGCGGGGGGATGGAAAAGTCTTATGTGGGATATTAGGCCTATCATCTGAAAGAGGGCTTTTAAGTCCTATCACCCTTGGGAGGATTATTAGGTCAACTCAGCCACGGGGAAATTATTAAGGCCTATCGAACTCGGAAGCAGTATTAAGGCTTATCAACTGTGGGAATGTGTATAGTTTATCGACCGACGGAGGGTTATTTAGGCCTATGAATCGCAGGAGGATTATTTAGGCCTTTTAACTACAGTAGGACGGTTAAAAACTGTCAACAGCAGAAGGGTTGTGTTACGACCCTTGAGACTAAATAATGTTCTTCTCCCCACAGTGTAAAGAACAAATAAAAATCTGCCATGCCAATAGGTGTCTAGGGGTATAATTAATCACTGTATAATAACGGGAGAACAATATATTTTGCTAAGGGTGACAACTTAACAACCATTAAATAAATAGTATCCAGAAATATTTATCAGCATTTAATACTATAGAATGCAAGTAATTATTTGAGACCTGAGCACTATCACCAGAATATGGAGTAAGCCATAAATACACTAAAATCGTCTATCCAGATAAATTAATATTTATATGGGCTTAAAATAACAAAAACTAAGAACTTAGCTTAAACACAACTGCACTCGACCGCAGCCGCCACTCTACTGCCCAGGACGTGGTCCGCAGGCCCAACGTCGACTAATCGTCTACCCAAACACCAATTAACGTTCGCATGAACATTGTGAACATTCTATTTACAAAGGTCAGCCCTAAACTCCAACATTATTAACTAAGAGTTGTAATTACTGGTCTCACATTCCTTGAAATATTACGGCTACCACATATAGGAATAAATAAAGATAAAACTATAGGCAATTGATTTGCCAACAATCGCCCTGGCCATTCCCAAATATTGTCAACCGCCCACACGGCTAATTTCACGTGACATCCACCACCAAAACAAACCTTACACACACTACCCAGCTATCTGTTATATATATATAATGTATATATATCTATATACACAAATCTTATACAACTGACAGCAATATTTACGTAGAGAAAACAATAACATAATACGGGAGAATTGGCAGAATCGTAATAAGATTCGTGACAGGTTGTTAAGGACGATCGATGGCCATAGGGTTGTAAGTCCAACACATCACCGTACTAAGCAGCTAACAGTTGCATCGTAGTTTTAAACATAGTCCAGGACTAATATATATATATATATATATATATATATATATATATATATATATATATATATATATATATATATATATATATATATATATATATATAAATATAATATACGAACGTTGTATTTATTGTTTTAAGTCAAATGTTAGTTAATTTGTCTTAAACTTCGTATATATAGAGAGAGTTTGCAACATTTAAAACGTGAAGTTCTTCTACTGCAATATTTAAAACTTGAGGTTCCTCCATTTGCAACATTTGATTCGTGAGATCTTTTACTTGAAACATTTGAAACGTGAGGTTTTTATTTGCAACATAACGTTCTTCTATTTGCAACATTTAAAACGTCCTTTATCCGACCACTTCGACTCGAGGGCAGAGCAACAGTCTCGCTTCATTCAGGTCGGCGTTCAATATCTTGCTGAAGGAAAGATATCAGCAATGATATCTTTCCTTCGAGGATGGAAGACATACCTATGGTCTGTCTGTTAAGGAGCAGGTAGAGGGCAACAGGAGCAGGTAGAGGGCAACAGGAGCAGGCAGAGGGCAACAGGAGCAGGCAGAGGGCAACAGGAGCAAGCAGAGGGCAACAGGAGCAGGCAGAGGGCAACAGGAGCAAGCAGAGGGCAACAGGAGCAGGCAGAGGGCAACAGGAGCAAGCAGAGGGCAACAGGAGCAGGCAGAGGGCAACAGGAGCAAGCAGAGAGCAACAGGAGCAGGCAGAGGGCAACAGGAGCAGGCAGAGGGCAACAGGAGCAGGCAGAGGGCAACAGGAGCAAGCAGAGAGCAACAGGAGCAGGCAGAGGGCAACAGGAGCAGGCAGAGAGCAACAGGAGCAGGCAGAGGGCAACAGAAGCAGCCAGAGGGCAACAGGAATCTCCCAAGTCAGGCTAATGCTTGAACTTACTGAGAAGTGGAAAGTTTTCTCCGAAGACAATTTTTTGTGTATCTGGTACGCCGTGGGCAGCTTCAAGGAAATGGGAGACTATTACTTTAAAGATTGGTTTCTCATTTGTGGGGACAGGAAGACTATTAAGTTTATCGAGGTCCAAATGGCAAAGAACAAAGGCTACTCGCGTGGTTACCCAACCAGTTACTGGCCAGATACTATGGTCTTTAACCGACTGACCGAGCTTCCTGCCCCAACAAGTGAGAAAACAGTCTCGACACTCATGTTAAACTACACATGAATTCCACATTAGCAGTTACCGGTTTGCAAGTCGGAAATTTTGACTGATACACGGACCTTATGCAAATTTCACAATATGTTTTCAGTTAACAAATACGTATTGAATCCTTTTGGTAAGAAAATGTTTATGAATACCAGTGAAAGTGCTGTTGACAGCGGACTTTAAAGGTGGGAGTGTGGGTCTTAGTTGGTCCACAATGGAGTTACCAACCACTGATGGTTTTCCAATACTGTGGGAGCCTGGTCCTGAAGGTGCTATTGGCTGCAATAAGCACTAGAATGTTTATATTGTCAACATTTTCCTGAAGTTACAGGTAAGTCGTTTATAAACAACGGTTTGGATGCGGAGGCAAAAGATCCTTTATGGCACTGCAATCATATATACGTTAGAGATATTGTTAGAATATTGTATAATTTGTTATAGGGAGAATGGAGAGGAATGTCAAGAATCAACAGCAGAAGCAACAAGAAAGCTACCTTGAGGTGGTACCAAGGCTTCATGACTCCGTGGACACTGATCAGGTCTCCCGGTAGGTTGTCTGGTCAACCAGGCTGTTGGTCGCCGCTGCTCGCAAGCCAAGATGGATTTACAGAACTATAAGAGCAAGAATAATCACAACGAAAACAACATGGTTCTACTTCCTTAATAATTCTGTCCTAAGCCAAAAGATTCGACGGGCCTCATATGTGGAATTATGTCCTCATATCAGTGAAAGAACGACCGTCAAATCCTTCTTTCCCTGATAGAAGAATTGATGGCGAATTAACATTTATTTCAATGTTCTTTCGTTCAAGAACATTGAAATAAATGAAACTACAGACAGCTCATCGGTTCATACGAGGCAGCTCCTATTCATATTCGCCCAAACTCATTCACATGAACGTCTATCCTAAGCTTGAAACAATCTAGGAACACACATTGAAACAATCTAAACACTTCAATGTTATTTTATGGATTTTTTTCTCAAAAGTATTTGTGGTACTGCCAGGTTTTAGGGAATAGATTCTTGTAGTTATTTTGAAGATTTTTTTTCGTATTCTGACTGATGCTTGAGAAGGTTATGAATATAACTGGATACACAAGAAAATCACTGTGACGTGATATATCTCTGATAAAATCTTTGGAGTAGACGTGGGGGATCGAACCAGCGTCTTGGGTTATTCGCAGACGCGTTCCTTAAGCCATTTAACCACGATATAAGTAATGTAACCTGGGATCCGCCCTGGAGAGTCCACTAGGAGTCTTGAGGCATCTAACTGGTAGCCTATTATCAATTTCCTGAGATCTGTGCAGTAACAATGTATTATTGATTTTTTCTAATATTTTTTTTTGCATCGTTAGACGAAAATATTTATAATTTATCGTTTTCAGTGTGTGGAGCCTGTAGCCAGGGCAAAAATCATTATGGCGATCAGTATGAGAACGTGGCACATTGTGCTCATTGAATAGTGCTTACCATAACCCAGCCATGATGGGCACGTACCTTACAATAATCAATGTACAAGTGTGGTAAAGCTAGCGCCAAGAATCTGGCCTCCAGCCTCAGACAGACAGACACAATGTTTTTCAGATATATATATTTATTATTAATATTTATTTTTATTTGTTATAGCTTTATTAATTTATTAAAATTTTTGCTTTGAAATCGAATCAGATTTGTCGATATGAAATTACGATTACTTTAGATTAACTTAATATATTTTTAATCCATATAATAATGTCGTTAACAATGTATAATGCTTTCATTGTTTGCAACTTTTAATTTTTTCAATATGTCAAAACAGGCAAAGCTGGTTATAATTTGCTGGAGTATGATGGAACTACAGCTTGTGCTGATGTGTGTCATAGATTCCAGAGAGAGAGAGAGAGAGAGAGAGAGAGAGAGAGAGAGAGAGAGAGAGAGAGAGAGAGAGAGAGAGAGAGAGAGAGAGAGAGAGAGAGAGAGAGAGAGAGAGAGAGAGAGAGAGAGAGAGAGAGAGAGAGAGAGAGAGAGAGAGAGAGAGAGAGAGAGAGAGAGAGAGAGAGCATAAGTCTATGAACTGCTGGAATATTTAAGGTGCTACAGGCTATTTTATGTTAATATATGTCAGTGTTACAGGTCAAGTTATGCTGGAATGAATCTGGGTTACAGGTTATATTTGGCTTTTAATATGTCTGCGCTATAGGCTAGGGTATGCTGGAATATGTTAGTTACGTTTGTTACGTTGGAATGAGCCTAAGGGACTATACCGACTGTCCTGACTTGTGTTTGTGGTACAATGGGTAGACCTTTGCCTAATTTCATTCGCCGTAGATCTCCAATATGCTGGCATACTCGTAGCTCAGAAAGAGATATGCAGAAGACGATGCGGCTCGAGGAACTTAAATACCAGATGAGAAAGTAACGTTATCGTTGTCATCAAAGCCAATTATAAAAACTGACTCGGAGGTTGCACATCTCAATATTAGATTGTTTAAAAATAGCTGTTTAGCATCTCTGAAGCATTTCAATCTCTCTGTCTGTCTCTCTCTCTCTCTCTCTCTCTCTCTCTCTCTCTCTCTCTCTCTCTGCAACGTTCCCATCTGTAATGTCTCTCTATCTAGGAGCAGCAGAAGTTCCAAGATTGCTTATGACGTGAAGAGACGTAGCGCTACACATTTCTCCTCTTTTAAATCCAAACTTTGGTAAGTCGGTGATTATTTAAGACAGGACGACACACAACTCTCCACGATGTGTCGCCCAACATCTCCGGGGTGAGACTGACACTTACGACATAAACTTTGGCCCCGACTTGCCTCTCCTGCAGTTAGGCGTTAGTGAAACTTTTTTCGTGCAAAGTTGCGGGGGGGATATTAGAGACGAATATCTTCCATACGAAGGAGGAAGTGGGCCAGGTGGCTCGGGAGGAATATGTATGAGTAGCACATATGTGGTGTGTGTGTGTTTGTGTGTGTGTGTGTGTGTGTGTGTGTGTGTGTGTGTGTACTCACCTAATTGTACTCACCTAATTGTGCTTGCGGGGGTTGAGCTCTGGCTCTTTGGTCCCGCCTCTCAACCGTCAATCAACTGGTGTACAGATTCCTGAGCCTATTGGGCTCTATCATATCTACATTTGAAACTGTGAATGGAGTCAGCCTCCACCACATCACTTCCTAATGCATTCCATTTGCTAACTACTCTGACACTGAAAAAGTTCTTTCTAACGTCTCTGTGGCTCATTTGGGTACTCAGCTTCCACCTGTGTCCCCTTGTTCGCGTCCCACCAGTGTTGAAAAGTTCGTCCTTGTTTACCCGGTCGATTCCCCTGAGGATTTTGTAGGTTGTGATCATGTCCCCCCTTACTCTTCTGTCTTCCAGTGTCGTGAGGTGCATTTCCCGCAGCCTTTCCTCATAACTCATGCCTCTTAGTTCTGGGACTAGTCTAGTAGCATACCTTTGGACTTTTTCCAGCTTCGTCTTGTGCTTGACAAGGTACGGGCTCCATGCTGGGGCCGCATACTCCAGGATTGGTCTTACATATGTGGTGTACAAGATTCTGAATGATTCCTTACACAGGTTCCTGAACGCCGTTCTGATGTTAGCCAGCCTCGCATATGCCGCAGACGTTATTCTCTTTATGTGGGCTTCAGGAGACAGGTTTGGTGTGATATCAACTCCTAGATGTGTGTGTGTGTGTGTGTGTGTGTGTGTGTGTGTGTTAAGCTATTTACACTCGGCCATTTGTGCTTGCAGGAGCGATCATTGGTGCTATGTGTGTGTGTGTGTGTGTGTGTGTGTGTGTGTGTGTTAAGCTATTTACACTCGGCCATTTGTGCTTGCAGGAGCGATCAATGGTGCTATGACACCGCCTCCCAGCCATAGGTTGTCTAAAGCAATGTCTCCTGACCTATTTCGCTGTCTACTTTAAAATATCTACTTTAAAAAAATGTATATGGAGGTCGCCTCTACAACCTATTCTTTAGTTCATTCCAGTATCCTTTTTTAACATCTCAATGACTCAGAGTCTCAAGATTTATCTATACCCTCTTATGCTATTGATATTCGTCGGAAACATTTCCTCTTTTCCCACTCTATCGATTCCTCAAGATATTTTATACTTCTCTAGCCTCTTTTCTAGCGTCGTTAGGTTTAGTCTTTTCAGTCTCTCTTCATATTCTATTCATTGAATCTCTGGGACGAGTCTCGTTGCAAACATTTGAGCTTTTCGAGTTTCCTTCTGTATTTTGGTTTGTTTCGATCGGGGTATACTCTAAAATCTAAAACCTATACTTAAAACAAATGACAGGACATGCCGTCTCACGCAGACGGTGTACAGCGATCAAAATGCCTCTTTATTTACGTTCTTGAATCATGTTCTAATTTTTGTTAGTGTAGGGAATGTTGCTGTCATTATTTTATTTATTGGACTTATGAAGGTTTGGTGCTATGGCATGTCCCTTATCGTTTTTCAATAGTCATTACAGGGATTTAGTTTCCCTTCATTGTATACTGTCCTTTTGGTCTCCTGTCACCTGTTCAAATTTCTATAACCTTACACTTGCTGGAGTTTATATCCAGTAGCCATTTCTCGAATAAACTCCGCTGCTTGTATGAGTCATTTCGGAGAATCCTTCAATCTTCATTTGTCTCAACTCTTCTCACTAATTTGGGACCGTCTCAAACATCGTCATATATAAGACTCAACTCCTGTACACAAGTTACTCACATAAATGATAAATAGAATAGGTCCCAGCAGTTATCCATGAGGCACTCAGCCAGCATGAGTGTCTGAGTGCCTGAGTCCGACTTCACACACCCTCACTATGGCTGACCTGTCTATTTGATAACTGCACTTCTATTTACTCCCTTCTATCTCTCGAGTTTGTGTAATAATCTCTCCTGAAATATTAATTCACAAGTTTTTTGGCAGTCTGGCAACTCGCTATCTACCAAACCTTCTCTGTCCTGAATATTTTCGTGACTTAATCATAGAACTCCATTAGGTTCTTTGGATTTTTTTGTCTTGGGTATTTGGCACTTTTTTGCTGGCGTTTGGCACTTTTCTGTTGAAGGTTTTGACTTTTTTTGTTGTTGCTGGGCGTTCTGGATATTTTTTTCGTTGGACGTTTAGGATTTTTATATTGGGACTTTTTTGTTGTGCTTTTGCCAATTTTTGGGAGGCTTTTTTTGTTAGATAAACGCCCACTTTTTTTGGGCGTTTATCACTTTTTTGTTGGGTGTTTGTCAGTTTTTTGAACGGATTCTGTGCCTTTTTTTATATATTTATCAATGTAATCAAACAGTTGATGTTTGATTACATAACTAATTTTCTCTAGGTGTGAAACTAGTCTTATTTTTATTTTTTCTTGCGAGTACTATGCAGAAGGAGATGGTTTTCAGTGACACTGGTTTGTAGTTAAGTTCCTCCTTCAAGTGCTTCCTCTCTGTGTCTCCTTTCTTGTAAATTGGTACCACATTTGCATTCCTCCAGCAGTTGGGGGAAACTCTCTCTTGCTGTAAGCAAGTCATTAAAGATCAATGCGAGAGGTACGCTGAGGGTCTGTGTCGCTTCTTTTAACACCCATGAGGATACGCTGTCTGGTCTAATAGCTTTAGTTTCGTCTAGTGATGGGAGTTGTTTCGTTACTTCGTCTGCCGTTACCTCAATATTTATCAGTCATCTAGGGTTACCTCCTCTTCTAACTCAAGAACTATTCAAGTTCAGTTCTGAACATTACAATGAAACTGCCGTTTAGTTTCTTACAAATTTCGATACCCTGTTTCACCTCCCCTGTTTTTGTTATCATGTCACTTGACATTTCACTGTCATTTTTCATCATATTTATTTTAAATACAATACGTTTTTTCCCAAATCCTTCTCATATTTATGTATTCGTTCCCAGCTCTGTTGTTTCGGTATTCTTCGGTATTTTTGCCTCTGTATTTCATCCATACATACATTCTTTAGCCATTCTTTTGCTTTTCTTCTTGGCTTCTGCTTTTGATTTTGGCTTCTTGGCATATCATCTGAATCATGAGATATTATGATATCATCTTTTTTCTTATATTGCTGGGTTGAAACTCCTTCCTGCTTCATAGCATCTCAGTTTGATCTGGGCTATCGTTTCCTGGTCTGTTTTCCATTAAATTTTTCCGCCTATTGTATATTTATCAGATACTCTCTTTCTCTTAATTAATTCCATTTTATATAGTGTACTCTCGCTTACTTCAACCCCCCCCCCCCTTTGACGGTGTGTGTGTAGTTACCTAGTTGAACTCACCTAGCTGTGTTTGCGGGTACAACTAGGCGAGTACAACTAGGTGAGTTCACACACACATACACACACACACACACATAAATACACACAGTTTCAAGTGTAGATATGATAGAGCCCAATAGGCTCAGGAACGTGTGCACCTGTTGATTGACGGTTGAGAGGCGGGACCAAAGAGCCAGAGCTCAACCCTCGCAAGCACAACTAGGCGAGTACACACACACACACACACACACACACACACACACACACACACACACACACACACACACACACACACACACACACACACACACACACCAAACAAATATGTGTGTGTATATATGTGCCTTGAGTCTCGTGGCACACCCAAACCCGTGTCTTTGGAAATGTCCGCGATTCAGCGCATGCGTGGAGTGTTTCAAACAAAGCTTAGAAAACTATCGTTAACTCCCACTACTTTATTTCTCCCTTCCTGACCACAGACTGCCCCCCCACCCCACCCCTACTCACAGCTCACTAGCACCGCTCACAAAGATCAAACAAGTCTGGTGTCACAAGCGGGGATTCTGCGTAACCATGTCTGGGAAATGCTGGAATACGTGCCTTCAGCGACCACCCTGCGAGCTATGCATTTCTAGACCCCCTCGTGTGCTTCCCAGCCCATGAATAAGTATTACCTAGCTTACCTTCATGTCTTCTCTACCTCCAGCAGCTTCTCTCCTACCTCTACCAGCTGCTCTCAGCCTCTACCAGCTGCTCTCAGCCTCTACCAGCTGCTCTCAGCCTCTACCAGCTGCTCTCAGCCTCTACCAGCTGCTCTCAGCCTCTACCAGCTGCTCTCAGCCTCTACCAGCTGCTCTCAGCCTCTACCAGCTGCTCTCAGCCTCTACCAGCTGCTCTCAGCCTCTACCAGCTGCTCTCAGCCTCTACCAGCTGCTCTCAGCCTCTACCAGCTGCTCTCAGCCTCTACCAGCTGCTCTCAGCCTCTCAGCTGCTCTCAGCCTCTACCAGCTGCTCTCAGCCTCTACCAGCTGCTCTCAGCCTCTACCAGCTGCTCTCAGCCTCTACCAGCTGCTCTCAGCCTCTACCAGCTGCTCTCAGCCTCTACCAGCTGCTCTCAGCCTCTACCAGCTGCTCTCAGCCTCTACCAGCTGCTCTCAGCCTCTACCAGCTGCTCTCAGCCTCTACCAGCTGCTCTCAGCCTCTACCAGCTGCTCTCAGCCTCTACCAGCTGCTCTCAGCCTCTACCAGCTGCTCTCAGCCTCTACCAGCTGCTCTCAGCCTCTACCAGCTGCTCTCAGCCTCTACCAGCTGCTCTCAGCCTCTACCAGCTGCTCTCAGCCTCTACCAGCTGCTCTCTCAGCCTCTACCAGCTGCTCTCAGCCTCTACCAGCTGCTCTCAGCCTCTACCAGCTGCTCTCAGCCTCTACCAGCTGCTCTCAGCCTCTACCAGCTGCTCTCAGCCTCTACCAGCTGCTCTCAGCCTCTACCAGCTGCTCCCAACCTCCACCAGCTGCTCCTCACTCTGTATACGTCGGAGCATGAGCCATGGTCCCTTGCTGATAGTTTAGCTAAGCTATAAAGATGGGCTTTCGTGATCACAGTCATGGCCGCCTCCTGATACAACGGCACCCTCTCTCTCGCTGGTAACACTGTGTGTTGATGGGTGACACCAGGTGGTGATGGGTGAGACCAGGTGTTGATGGGTGACACCAGGTGTTGATGGGTGACACCAGGTGGTGATGGGTGAGACCAGGTGTTGATGGGTGACACCAGGTGTTGATGGGTGAGACCAGGTGATGATGGGTGAGACCAGGTGTTGATGGGTGACACCAGGTGGTGATGGGTGAGACCAGGTGTTGATGGGTGACACCAGGTGTTGATGGGTGACACCAGGTGTTGATGGGTGACACCAGGTGTTAATGGGTGACACCAGGTGTTGATGGGTGAGACCAGGTGTTGATGGGTGACACCAGGTGTTGATGGGTGACACCAGGTGTTGATGGGTGACACCAGGTGTTGATGGGTGACACCAGGTGTTAATGGGTGACACCAGGTGTTGATGGGTGACACCAGGTGTTGATGGGTGATATCAGGTGTTAATGGGTGACACCAGGTGTTGATGGGTGACACCAGGTGTTGATGGGTGATATCAGGTGTTAATGGGTGACACCAGGTGTTGAAAGAAAGATGAAAGATGATGAAAGATGAAAGTGGTAGAAATGAGACAGTGGCAAGTATTAAAAATATATATTTATAACCCCATTCTGAATATCTCTACCTGCTCTCGCAATCCGATCCAAAGCCAGACTTTTCCAGGGGGTAATCTGATCAACGAGGCTATTACCCGAGGCAGCCTGCAGGGGGGCTACATCAACCTTATAACGCAGTTGGTCAGTTATTTTCTCCCTGTAGTCATTTGTTCGGTTCTCCCCTGTAGGACTTACTCTTAGTGAAGGCAATATTTTCTGTAATTGATAATAAGGTTTTTTACGTGTGAGAATATGGTGTTTATTCAGTGTTCTGCAGTTGTGCTTATAGTATACGTTCCGTCAAGGGTGACAAGTCTCCGTCAAGGGTGACAAGTCTCCGTCAAGGGTGACAAGTATCCGTCAAGGGTGACAAGACTCCGTCAAGGGTGACAAGACTCCGTCAAGGGTGACACGTCTCCGTCTGGAGTCTACTAAGTGCTATCTTGTAGACTCAGGGTTCAGGGTGTCTAAGTTCAGGGTTATCAATATCTCAGTGGCCCTTTCTCTGACCAAGCCTTACGGTAGGTGATCTGGTTAACCAGACTATTAGAGGCTACTGCTTGCATTCTGAACGTATGCGTCATAGGCAAATTTGATCGGGTATCCTTTGGAAGTGTTTATTAAGTTCTCTTCAGTCAGCGGTCGTCCAAAGTGAGAAGTCGGCCACACTTCTCCCTATGGGAAGGAGTAGTCTTGAAAAGTCTTGAGCCTATGTTGATAGAATTCTATCTTAATTACATGGTTTCAATGGAGTTATTTTACTCTTTCCACCACTTCTCTTTATTTTACGTGGAGTTATTATTTAGTATATAGGGTTTTAGTATGAAGATTTAGTATATACGGTTGTGGCTGTTTTCATTTTGGCTTTTCTGGCGTTCATTTGGTTTTTATTTCTCTGATTCCTTTTATATGAAATTTAGGGCAGACTCTGGCATATTATTCTTTTTTATGTTGTGAACTTTTGCAGTGTTTTCTGGGTGGGGGGAAAAGTGCATCTTCCAGAACGACATTTACCTGGATATGGTTCCACCAGGAATGACCAGGTGCCATCACCGGAGTCAAGTTTCCATCAGGAATGGAACACGTTTTCAGGCTATGACCGACTTTCTGATAGGGGGGGGGGGGTACACGGGTAAATTCTTCTCTATATTTACTTCCTCTTGTAGAACAGTATAATTTCTCATATTTTCAGATTCTTGTCACACTCTCTCATTTATGCTCCCCGTCAACCTATTCTTAAAAACATTTACCAAATGTTAACTTTGTAAAATTGTGAAATTGTGAAATATGGTCGAGGCTGCAAATGAGTGTAAAGCTGACTATAAAAAATACAAAAATAGTTTCAAATCCAAAATTCATGAAATCCTTCAGTTGACTGAAATGAAAATAGAATTTTACCCCAAGGCTTTTCGTTCTGTTTATTTAGTAAAGAATGTGAATTCTGAATTAAATTACAGCTTTATGTATTAAACATTAAATCCTCTGACAGGCCATTATTTACGCGCTGGCAAGTTGAAGTTAAATAATTCATTGGCATGTTGTTTGAAATTTGCCTCCCGCTGCATAATCATTAATATGTATAAAATCAGTATTAATAATCTCCGATTAGTTCCGGACTCGACGACAAATTTCCATTTAGGAAAAAAATCAAGGTCCTTTCGGCTTTCATAACACAATGTAACCCATCTGTTTTTGTAGATAGTTCTATCTTCTGATTGCTAATGACTTCAAAGCACATTTAATGCCTATTATTCCCCTCTGACTATCGCATAAAACAGCTTGTCTTAGTCTTGTGTCTAAGACTAATGGGGTCATGAAGGTACTTGGAAGCTGCCGACTGCTTATCTCGAGGAGTGACACGATGTTTAACAAGTGGAAGCCTTCGGACACCTATTGTCTAAATTTTCTGTATAAATAACGCTGTGATTCGAGACTTCGTCAAGGCTTCATGTGGTTGTTCATTCGGCTGTCGCAAGCGCCATGTAGAAGGCAGCGGTAGGCATAGCGAGTACCTGGTAAGAGGCAGCTGCAGGCATAGCGAGTACCTGGTAAGAGGCAGCTGCAGGCATAGCGAGTACCTGGTAAGAGGCAGCGGTAGGCATAGCGAGTACCTGGTAAGAGGCAGCTGCAGGCATAGCGAGTACCTGGTAGGAGGCAGTTGCAGGCATAGCGAGTACCTGGTAAGAGGCAGCTGCAGGCATAGCGAGTACCTGGTAAGAGGCAGCTGCAGGCATAGCGAGTACCTGGTAAGAGGCAGCTGCAGGCATAGCGAGTACCTGGTAAGAGGCAGCGGTAGGCATAGTGAGTACCTGGTAAGAGGCAGCGGTAGGCATAGCGAGTACCTGGTAAGAGGCAGCAACAGACTAAACAGTACCTGGTAAGAGGCAGCAACAGACTAGACAGTACCTGGAAAGAGGCAGCAACAGACTAAACAGTACCTGGAAAGAGGCAGCAACAGACTAAACAGTACCTGGAAAGAGGCAGCAACAGACTAGACAGTACCTGGAAAGAGGCAGCAACAGACTAAACAGTACCTGGAAGGAGGCAGCAACAGACTAAACAGTACCTGGAAAGAGGCAGCAACAGACTAGACAGTACCTGGAAAGAGGCAGCAACAGACTAAACAGTACCTGGAAAGAGGCAGCAACAGACTAAACAGTACCTGGAAAGAGGCAGCAACAGACTAAACAGTACCTGGAAGGAGGCAGCTACAGACTAGACAGTACCTGGAAAGAGGCAGCAACAGACTAAACAGTACCTGGAAGGAGGCAGCAACAGACTAAACAGTACCTGGAAGGAGGCAGCAACAGACTAAACAGTACCTGGAAAGAGGCAGCAACAGACTAAACAGTACCTGGAAAGAGGCAACTGGAGACTAGTGAGTCGAAACATCATCTCGTATTTGATATTAAAAATTGCGTCTCCTGATTGGAAGTAATCAATTAACCCTTTGTTAGGATGCATTAAATACGTACTTAAATACGTACACAAATACATACCTATACAAAGAATTCCTTGCATTTTGTTCGTGACTGGATTTAGGAATAAGAACTGGAACCGGTTAGGATATTCAACATGTTATTCCCAGAACCCGATCCGCTAATAGTTTCAAAACCAGATACACATTACTGCTCGGTGCACCGGAGCGAACAGAGAAGGAAGAGTGCCCAGTCGTTCCTCCTTGTTCAGCGAGGGTATTGAGATGTAACAAAGTGATACGTATTTTCTGGTATGGGATTCGTCAGCTCCGGCTCATATAAATGTTGTTATATTTTAAGTTATACCAATTTATTAATATTGATTTTATGATTCTAAGAGCTGCATTTGATCTTACGTTGAATTAATGCTTCAGTTTTTAGTTTAACGGCGAGAATAAACTTCAATAACGAAGAAAATATGACCCAATAACGAAGAAAATATGACCCAATAACGAAGAAAATATGATCCAACAATGAAGAAAATAAGTACCAATAACGAAGAAAATATGTCCAAATAATGAAGATAATAAGCCCAAATAGCGAACAGAATAAGTCTCCAAAACGAACAGAATAATACCCAATAACGAGCACAATAAGTCCCAATAACGAACAGAATAAGTCCCAATAACAAACAGAATAAGTCCCAATAACAAACAGAATAAGTCCCAATAACAAACAGAATAAGACCCAATAACCTGACTGAGACGAGTCACCCAGCCAAAAATTAAGAAATGAAGGTGATGATAAGTTCTGGTTCCTCCTGGAATCATATTCACATCACTTTCGCTTGCGTGCGTTCGATATATTGATTAAAAATGTTGTGATCGTCGTTGCGAAAAATTATACCTCTCATTCTAGTTCCCCTTAATTCCTAATTAGCCTTGAAATCACCAAAGCAGAAGGAAACTTGCAATTACAAAATAGTTTATCTGCGCAACACTATTGACTGCATCACCTCCGTAGAGGAGCCCAACATTTAGGACACAATAGAACGCTACACATCTGACCTTTACTTAGTATTTTGGCCTGCCAAAACGGTTCAGTCGTATTGATACCTTAATCTTGCTATTTAGCATCGGTCAAATGATAGCGCTTGGAGCAGCTTCAGAGGCCTCTGTGGGTTTGTTTTAGGGGCGTAGGAAAGTCCCCTTACACTTAATTTTTCGCCGAATTCACTCATACCAACGAAAACACACGTGTCCTCGCGGCCGAGCGGACAGAGTTCGGGGTTTGCAGTTCAATGACTCGAGCTCAATTTCGGGTCAAGTTAGAATAAATAGAGTTTATTCTCTCTTTTCCTTTGACTTTTATCTGTCTGCCGAGCAAACAAAAAGGTATCCGGGAGTTTGTCA